GAAACCACCACCCAAAACTGCTTACATGAATTTCCAAGCGCTAGACCTGCCTCCGAGATCAGCCCAATAAGAGCTGTCAGGGGAGGCTCCCAGCTCACTTTTCCACATCACTTCACAGTTACATTTGGCAGGCAGGCACGTTGGAGCGCTCAGACCCGGAATTAGTGGATTTATTTGGAATATCCCTGCTTTCCTGGAGACGTGCTGCTGCCGCTGGCTTGTGCGAAGGGAGAAATTAGTAACCGCACTTTAGCATGCAGGCACAGAGACCCGAGAAGCTAAGTAACCAGCATCTCCTCCAGCACCAGCAGCCTCAAAAAGCATGAAAAGAAAATCTGGAGAATCCTGCCTGTTCACAGGGACTGGCTAATGTTTTTTACCTCACCCTTTCAATCCGTACGTGAAGTGGCTGTCAGCAAGCGGTTTCCTTGGTCCTTGAAAGAGTGAGTATTCATTTTATTAATATTATTTATGTCTCGCTGGCAGAGGGCTGTCTCTCCATAGATTTCTTTTTGACTTAGTGTCTGTCTGTGTTCTTGCAAGGTGCACTGTGCGAGTGCCTTCCTTGTTAATAGGTACGGTATTGGGCTGAGCTGTAGTGGCTCATTAGGTTGAATGTTTTGAAATTCCTGATAATGAAAATGTCATGGGATGCTAGTTAGGATTTTTTTTTATTCCCTTGGGAGGAGGAATGGTGGTGGTGTGGCTATTTCTCCTCTGGTTTTGTTTTTTTGGGGTGGTGTCTCAGGAGGACTTTGGATCGCAGAGGGTTGCTTCCAAGGCTGGAGAGCCCGTTTCTTCTCCTTGTTTTCTTATTTCATACAATAAATCTCTGGGCTATTTCACTGTGTTGAATAGATGCAGGGCTGCATTCATGCATTGAAATAGATTGCAGTTTTCGTGCTGAGAATAAAAATCACTTGCCAGCCAGATATGTAAATGAGGGAGGAGGAGTCTGGAAGAACCATGAGGGGGGGAAATCCCCCTGATTTATCACCACCTTCCCTCCCCTCAAAGCTTTGCACCCCCTAGATAAATAAATAACTAAATAGGAATGGTACGATAGCTTCCTTTCCTACTTTCAGAGAGGAAAGCATCCCAGAGATACTGCTCTTCCTCTTAAAAGCTGAGATGGGAATGAATCTTTAGTCATAACTAGCTAGGAATCATCCTTGTCCGGCAAGTTGTTTTCTTTCTTTTTCTTTGGTTGACTAAACAGATAATGCACCCAGCTGAAACTTCAGAGAGGGAGAAAGCCCCTTAGCTCCAACTGCTTGTTAGTTGCATCACTGCCAAGGCTCCCAGAGAAGAAATGCAGGAGTCTGTCGACCCCTGAAGCTGGCTGTTTCTCTAAATGCTTCATCTTCTCTTTGAGGAAGACAGAGGAGTAACACATCCTTACATTCTGCTTGGCTACAATATCTGCTGGGTAGCAGCATCCCAATCGGGAGCCCCGAGCTGTCAGACAGCAGCCCTGCTAGACAGCATCAGACCTGGATATGGTGCTTGGCTGGGGAGCCTGGGAGGCTGCAAGGCTTCAGCACAGAAAGCTGATGGCAGTTTCTGTGTGGATATTATGGAAGAGATTAATTCAAGTCCTTATTTAGATACTGCCTACCGCCATGAAGGTGACACCACTTAACATAGGCAGGAATTCCTTCGTGGTTCGTTGCTGTTCAGTCATGTCTTGAATCTGTCTCAATTCAAACAGTTTGCATTTAGTACCAGACTAAATAGAGTGGAATCAATCCAACCTGGCACATAACGGTGTTACACAAACCTGGTTGCATTGCCAACAGGTATCAAACTCTATACCCTCACTTCTCCCTCCCTCTTCCTCTCTTTTAGACAGGCACGAACACACGCACTCCGTTTCATGCAAACGAGTCTGTCTTTCCTCTGAAAGTAGGAATAAATACTCATACAACTTTCATAAAGGCTGATACTTCTAAACAGTCAACTTGATCGCATAAACGGCTCACCATTTGTGTCTCTAGGTATCACAGCCAGATGTTTTTTGAGGGGTGCTGGTTGTAAGAAGTCAAATAACATTAACTGTTTATTGTTTCAAGTCTACCACGTTAGTGCTTAATAGAAGGGAAGCTAACAGCTGCTCGTTTCAGCTTCAATTAAAGAATAGAGCTGGTAACTACCAAAGCTATAGATAAAGAATCCTCTTAACTTCACTCATCCTCTTTTGGAAATTCTTCAAGAGTTTCTCTGCAGTAAGGATAAAGAGAAATACACGGAAATAAGGATAAAGAGAAATATGAATAATATTGCTTCTCAATGTTCAATACCAGACTGTTACGAACAAGAAGAGACTTCACAATAGGCTTCGCAGTAAATATAAGTAAATAATAAATATATTCAGAAGACTGAAAAATTACCCTGGTGTACATTTTACCTGTCTTAAATAAAATGATAAAGCGGCTAGAAGTTAGTATTTTGAATACCTGTGAAATTACAAAATTTCACACTCGTAAAATGTGATAACATCAAAACCCAAAAGCTCTCTGTTGTGTCACCTCCCAGCCTAATTGTATGAATGTTTGCAACAGGAAAACACTAGGAAAGGAAGTGATTATTCTAGTCTAAGGTGTTCAGCCTTATTGTTCTATGTTACCGCATACCGAATGAGCACAGCTTTCTGCAAGCTTCCTCCTAGGCTCACTATTTATTAACTCTCCCTTCTTTTTTTTAAAATTTGCATCCTGGCTGTAAAGAATTCTGATTCCCGTGCCTAGTTGTAAGCTGAGGGCCTTCGGTGCTGTCGGAGAAGGAAGTATTTAATGAAAGTTGGTTCTTAAGTTATACAGGTCAGCAATTTGTGAAGCGAGCAGGCTGCTAGCCAGGTAGCTAACTTTGGACATTTTCTTCAATATTAAAAATCCAGTAAGTAGTATACGTGCCTGCTTAACAAACACAGCTGGTTTTAATAAGAAGTACCCCTGTATAGGATATGTAGTCCTTTTACACCTTTCACTTAAAAGAAAAAAAGTTTTCATCTCTGTGAGATGAAGTAGAAACCTCCTTAGAAGTCGTCGCTCAGTGCTTTTTAATACACTCCAGTAATTCACATCAGCTCCTGCTATGAAGTCCAGAAGAGAGTTGTAAAGGGGGAAGTAGTCTCACAATCAGATTTAAATTCACTTTCAGTCATTCATAATCTTCAGCATTTTTCCAATAATATTGCACCTTTACCAAATAAATTAATTGATCCCTGGACACTTCATTTGTATCACTGCTAACATATGCTGCGTCGTCTTCTCTAGAAAAAAATATTCTCACGCTCCTGTCTTCAGGGTATAGAACTGTTACAAGTACGAACACAATCAGCCATGGATATAGATTTAGGTCTGTTACACCTTGAAGTACTTCCTGAATTTTCTATTTCTTCTCGCACTGTTGCAGATTTCATCTTTTAAAATCTTCATTTTGGAAGAGCTGAGTGCCCTACGAGACTTTAGCTGGGACTTTTTTACCCACTTATTGACATTAAGGGCCTGTAACCCACCCACTTGACCCTTGATCCGTACAGATAATTCTATTTCCAAAACTTGAGAGATTTTGAGGGGGAAAAAATACTGACCCCTAAGTTTATGAAGAAGAAGAGGTGAACGTGTACTTTAAGATCTTGGTGCTGCATATCTTTTAAGTGATGATTATGCATACTCTGTAACAGAAAGCAACTGCTTATGCTACATAGTATAAACAGGTATTTTTATAGCATATCCAACAACCGTAAGATACTGTATATCTTCAGAAGTATTCATTTTCTATTCTTTTCTCCATTTTTTTATTATTAGAGCCTGACCTTTTGAATATACTGTTAATTCTGACAATTGTATGCTTGCAGTATACACTATAGTTGTATCCTAAGAGTCTTTCAACTATGGGTTTAAAATAATACAAACTAAATTCTTTCAGTGGGAGGGAAATGCTAAGGCATTTTGAGCTTGGAACATTTTAAGCATCATCGCTACCATAGGATTGCATCAATAGAATTAAATTAGGTGATGGAAACCTAACATTTTTCTTAGTGTTGTTGCCATAGAAAAAAGTGGCTCGCTTCATAGCATTCTGAACATAACTGTTTGAGCAGCAGATAGACATAGAACAAAATAAAGTCCAGTTTGAAATTTCAAATGTGTGTGTATATATATGGGTTTTTTCCCCCCTCAGATAAACCCCCTTTGTTCTAGAATCTGTCCAGCACATTTCTAATTTTGTCAACTAAGTAAATAACATCAACACAGTGACATTTCAACTATATTAATAACGTTACGTTCCCAAAAAACATTGGGGACTGATGGTATCTGAAGTGGAAGGTGCAAGCTGAAAAGGCAAGATGATTTCTGAACCAGTTCAGTTACCAACAGAGTTTAAAGCATCTTGACTGCAGGCAAGAGACCAATTTCTACCTGCCTTAGTCATGAGAGTAGCCTTTATCCATGAGTTGCAATGATAATACTCATAGAATTGATTTTCCAAGGTGTTGAGCATGATGTGTCTTGTGAAAATCATTTGAAATTAAGGATTATCAGCACCTTGGCTAGGATTTGGAATTAGTAATGCCAACCAGTCCTAGATCTGAATAAGTGAAACCTTCAATGAGAAGTGTCTACTGTACCCTGCGGTGCCTAAGTCATAGACAAGCTCATAAAGGTCTTTCTCGATGTGTCTTGCTTGGGTCTTTGCAACTGAATGTGGGAGTTCAAAATATTATAAAACCAGTCAGTCTTGGCAGTCATTAGTTCACAGTTTCAACTTTCTAATTTAGCGTACATTCGGTCAAAGTAGCTTACTCCTGGGAAGCAATGCTCAGCCTAATTTGAGGAACTAAGATAAACATTTAAATCCATTTCCTTTGCAATCACTGATTATCATAATCATATAAATGTGTGTATTTTATATTTCTATGGGGTTTTAATATATAAATATAAATTATTATATTGAAGCCCCTAAATTCTGATGCAGATGGACTGTGTGCATTCAGAGGTAGTGCAATTCATTAGTTGAGTTTTGCAATTGAGCAACATTTTAGATGTGAACCTCTCTTGTGGATTAAATGTAACAGCTATGATTGCCTTTTAAGTAAGAGATCATCAGAACTTAATTCTTAATGTTGCTGAAGTTTAGATGGAGTTCTGTATTCTAGTCTGTGGGCTCTATTTTTTGTGCATTTCCAAAGGTTAGATTAAAATAAACAAATGAAAAAAAACCACCAAAACAAAAACCTCAACCAAGCAACTGCAAATGAAATAGTTTTTATGTTGGAGGACCCTAATTCTTTCCAAACAACTCATTTCAGTTGATAGTAAAACTGCCGTCAAATTCAATGATGCAAAATTAAAGACCTTCACTTCTAATCTCATATGTTTCAGCAAAAAAGATTTGAGTAGGTTTACTGCAACAGTACTGTATGTAGTTACAAAAGTCCAGT